TGATAGTCCATGTCTAGTAAACTTCTCTCCTGAGACATTTCCTCTTGCATAGAAAGTGTCTGAATATCAGTTTGTCTCAAGTTTGCCTGTAAAAATGAGTTCACCTAGTTAATGTGAACAAACGAATAAAGCTGCAATGTTTTGGTTCCTGTCCAGGCTGTGGACTGCTTAGCAAAGTACTGCTGATCTTTTTGCATCCTATGAACATGAGAATTTCCAATTTGCAAAATGTTACAGAGACTTTCCACTGCACTTACTGCAACACTGAAGTAGAGGAAGATGCCTCAGCGTTTCCGAAGCATGATGCTCGAACCTTGTTAGCGAAGTTCAATGAGCAGATGGAACCTGTCTTTGTCCTACTGCGTGAGACTGAAGATATTGTTCTGCCATATGACTTGCTGGAGCCTCAGCCAACAGAAATACCAGAATTATCAGAAAGGTATAAACATAACCCTCTAGAACTTCTGATCACTGCAAACCCCAACAACTTTCCAGTTGTAAAATCTTTGAAATACTTAAGTTGCAGCCTACTTTGTACTCCATTCTGTTCTTTCTGTAGTCTGCTGTTTAACGAAGAAGTCTGTAATATCTAAGGCATTCTAAATTATTGCTATGCATTTATATTTTTATTTTTGCTATCTTTTTTATTTTAAGTGATTTATTTTCCAGATTTCTCCTTCAGCTAGTGTTTATAGCTCTTTCTGTGAGAAAGTAACGTTTCTCTCTCAGTGTGCTTCATCTTGAGATGCACTACTGAAAAAACCTTGCAAAAATCAATGGTTCAGAACCACTTGCCTCTGAGATGAGGTAACAGGGAATGCAAATTGTTTTAATCCAGAGCACTTGTTAGTCTGCTGACAAAACATGTTTTTGGGGTTCTTTTTGTTTGTTTGAGGTTGTTGTTTGTTGGTTTGGGTTTTCTTGGTTTTTGTTGTTGTTTTTTAATGAGAACTGAGAGTGTTCTTCCTTGAATTTTACCTGTTCAAAATGTGAAAATCCATTTAGCTTTGATCAGAAGTTGGGCTCGAGTGCGCTGGAATCCTGCAGCTGCCCTGAAAAACGGGCATACAGAAGTTCCTCTTTCAGCATTACGTACACCCAAAATGTAGTTATTGATGTCCAAGACTCAAAGCGCAAAAAGAAAAGAGAAAAAACAACTACAGAGCAACCTATCTGGTTGTCACAGAGCACCATGGAAGGAGCAACAATAGCCACCAACAACAGTGGTAAGTTTTAAGCATTAGCAAATAAATTCATCAGCCTTAGTGCATTTAAATATAGCCTTCCTACTAAAAATGTAGTGAGCTTGGTTTAGAAGATAGAATAATGCTTCAATTCTGCACTAGTGGTTATCATAGTTTCTAAAAACTAGCCTTTAGACTGATTGGGGTAGTATTCCTAAAGCCAGAGGTCACATACCAGGTCCTGAAGCTTCTGGCTCTAACCATGCAATAACATTAGTGGTAATCTTTACAGTGGGAAGCTCTTGGAAATGTCTGTACTTTCAATAGAATTCTAGTGTAGGTAGAAAAGATCCAGAGTAGAAAAAGTCATCTATGTAGGATGTCTGTGGTAACTGTAAGCTATTGACCCCCTCTAATACTTAGTATTGTGTATTAGGAGTAAATGCTTCTAAAGAAATTGAAGAAACTGTTAAAGAAACTGTCAACAACAATGAAATCCTCAAGACTCTTCTGATCCATGAATTGAAGTCGTCATCTAGCACACATCAGGCTCCTGTTGTCCAAAGCAAACTACATGAATCAGGTAGTGATAGTAGCGAGTTTGAAGAGGATGCCAAGTGCTCAAGAGGAGCAGGAATGAAAGCAGCAGGCAGCAACTCTGAACAAGAGGAACAGGAAACTCTAGGTCCTATTTTAATCGTAGCTGGACAACCACGTGCATATGGTGAAGTCAGTGAAAACCCAGAGCTTGTCTCTCTTATGACAAAAGAAGAGAGAGAAGCTTATATAAAAGTAGGACAAGAAATGTTTAGGTCTGTCTTTCAGTAAATGCTACTGTGTGAATATGCACACTTATATAGAATGGGTGAAGGCTTCTTACTCATGCTCTTTAAAGTTTACCACTGAAGGGTTAAGTTTTGTTTGAACTCTTGGCTATGCAAGATAGTAATCCTGTAGTAGGTAACTACAGTTCCAAATACTAGCATTGCAGCCACAGCAACCCAAAATTACTATGTGTTTTCTGTTGTCTTAATGCTTAGACTTTGTAAGTGATGTAATTAGTTTTGGAGCATGAATCATTTTAGGACACGTTGGGATCTAATTAAAATAACATTTCAAAAGCAGTGATGCAATCTATTGTAAGAAATCAGTTGTTCCACCTTCCTCTCAGAAGCAGCAGTTACTTCCAGTAGTGAAGATGAGTCCCAGTCCAGTATGATTTGGTTTTGCTCTATACCAGTCTCACATTACTTTGGTAAGTCACTCACTACACAAAAGTAAGGGATAGATGCCACACAGCAATCTCCTTCCAAGGGAAGAGCTGTTACTGAATTGAATTAGCATTAGATGAGAACCAGCTCTGGCCTCTTGAACTTTCATCCTAAAAATAATTATTGCAGTTCTTTGTACTTGTTGCTCTACAGAACTGTCTCAAGTGATGAACTGTGCAATGGGCATTGAAAGTGTAAGATGTAACATTCACTTTGGTCCAGATCAGTACAGCAGCAAGCAATGCATTAAGCACAAGACTCTGCTTCTCCTACCTCACACTCTCCTGTGCTCTTTTTAAGCAAGAAACAAATTCTACTTGAACTGAGCTACATATGTAGTATGCCAGAAGGACTGGCATTAGAATGTAAGAGAGAGCTTAACTTTTCAACAATTCTGCTACTTCGGTAAGGGATAATGAAAGTAGACTAGAAGAGCACAAACAAACACAGGAGGTTCCCTCTGAATATTAGGGAACACTGTACTGTAATGATGACTGAGCACTGGCACAGGTTGCTCAGGGAGGTTGTAGTCTCTCATGGAGATATTCAAAAGCCACCTGGGCAAACATCTCTGAGTGGCCCTACCAGAGGAGGGGAGCTGGACAAGCTGACCTCCAGGGGTCCCTGCTGACCTCAACCATTCTGTGATGAAACAGTGGAGAGGAAGTATGACCAAAGAAATACAATTTCAGTGCATTTTTCCTACACACACTGTGTTGGTTTTGGCTGAGGTAATTTTCTTCACAGTAACTGGTGTTGGGCTGTGTTTTGGATTTGTGCTGAAAACAGTGTAGATAACACAGGGATGTTTTCATTATTGCTGAGTGGGGATTACACAGAGCAAGGACTTTTCTGCTCCTCACCCCACCCCTCCACCAAGGAGGCTGGGGGTGCACAAGGAGGTGGGAGGGGACACAGCTTGGACAACTGACTGCCACTGACCAAAGGGATATTCCAGACCCATATGGCATCATGCTCAGCATATAAATCTCAGAGAAGAAGGATGGGGTGACATTGGGAGGGATGGCATTTGTCTTCCCAAGTCATCATTATGCCTCATGGAGCCCTGCTCTCCTGGAGATGGCCAAACACCTGCCTGCCCTTTTGCTTTGCTTGCATGCACAGCTTTTGCTTTAGCTCTTAAACTGTCTTTATTTCAACCTATGAGGTTTTTTGCTGTCACTCTTCCAATTCTCTCTCTGATCCCACTGGTGGGGAAGTAAGCAAGCAACTGCTCGGTGCTTAGGCACTGGCTGAGATTAAACTCGCACCCTGCCAGGGCAAGAATTCAGGAATGGTGCGTGCTCGTGCTCTTTCTTGAGCTTAGAATTTAATGATTCACCATATAAGCTAGACTTGTTTCAAACCTGCACACAAAATCTTGTTCTACTTCATCCTCTTTTAGGTTGACTGAGTGACTCTTGGGCTAAACTAGTAATTAATAACTTTGATTGTTTATGTTCACAGGTTTACCTTTGCCACAATGTATTTCATGTCCTCAAGTTTAAAGTCTGCACAGTAACTAAACTGTCTTCAAACATTTGCTAGTAACTTTTTTGGACACGAGAGGCATGTGACCATAAGCTGCCATTTCAAAATTCACTCATAATATCTAGAGACACTCCAAAGAAACTAAAAAACAAAATCACAAAAGAATTACATTCTCATTTTATTTAAACTTCAGGCATATTTAGGCTTCACTGTCACTAGACTGGCACCCATGGTATATAGCCATATTATCACACTAACCTCACAGGCACCACAAACCTGAATTAAAGATGACCAGTGCTTTTTAACTACTGTGAGAAAAGCCTTGTGTTTAAGGTAAACAGAATGTCTATAATGCAGCAGATCTGCTGAATAAGCTACTTCTAGCTCAATTTTTTGATTCAGTGTTATTAGCAGCTCTGGTATGAAAAAGTGAAGAAAGTTTTCCAATCTACTTTTCTACAATTCTAATTCAACCTTTACCATTAGACTCCATTAGTTGCTGACTGTTTTTTTAAAACATTAACGTTGTAAGGAAGTTTAGAAAATTCCAATTAAAATCAAATACTTTAGGAACAGATTCTACAGACTTTCAACTGCATCACTTGTAACTGTTACCTGTGAAAGGATACCAGCATTTTCAGACAGGCTTATTCCTTTGAACACTGAAAGTGCAAAACAGAAAATGCAGGAAAATACTGCTGGTTTCTGCAATTAACTACACACCCGGGGTATTTTAAGTTCACCTCAGATAAATGTGCTGATACAAAGGAATTCCACAGGCCATGAACAGGAACTTTTTTGTTACAAACCAGCTATACTCTAGGCTATAAAGGCAACATGTAGGTATGTACTGTGTCTACACCTCATATTTGCAGAAGATGGAGAAACTTAGTCAGACAAGAATTTCTTGTCCCAGGAAAATGAGCAGTGTTTCTTGTAAGAGAAGTAACAAACTGCTACAAGTATGCCAACACTTCAAGTCAGTTAACTTCCAGCAACAAACTCAGCAAACCAGTTTGCAAGCCAAAGGAAAATTTTTCAAAAGACAAAATTTACAGACAAGTCCAAACTTTATTTAAAACTACTATTTTGAACAATTTTAAAATTACTAAACAAGTCACAATAAAAAATAAAAAATTAAGACAGAAAAAGAACAGTGCAGCAAAACTGAATAGAAGTGAATTCAGTTCCAGCTGTTTAAACTGCCACAGGCAGAAGTTCACATACCTATCCTAAGAGGCAGTGTGTCAAAAATTTTACATTTTTATACACTTCCAGAATTCTGGGAAATTAGTGCTGATCTTCTGTATGCATTTGTATACATGGAGTTTATAAATGCAGATATCTTCAGGTTATTCTCATGCATTTTGAGTTCCAAGAGTTTCTGTAAAGTAAGAGTACACTCATCGTTACCTACAAGGCATCAAAAATAGCTCATGACCACATTTCAACTCCTAGATCCCTTGAAGTACCTTGATGAAATATTTCATCCTCACAAGCATTTTGAGCCATGGATTACTTGGAACAGCTACAGCCAACCCCACATACACAGATTATAATGGCTTAGTGCTACCTACAAATCTGGTGTGGCATGGCATTCCCAGCCAGACTGCTCCCACAGCAGGCATATGCATCAGTATCCATCAAATGGGCATGCACAACTTATGCTGGCATGGCTGTGACAAGCAGAATGCTGATAGGGAGTGAATGAAATGGAAAGAAAGATGTACCTTTCTTCACACTTTGTTCTGGAAAAATCTGTGCTGTGACTGCAAATGCATTAAAAAAATGCATATTTGAGGAATTGGAACTAGCTACACTAGCAGAAAACTGCTACTATGAGAATATCCATTTCATGTCTTTATATACACCCTTACTGTATTCTCCACTGGAGAATTACAAGTCTAACAATTGAATAGAAGTTTCTAATACTGCAATTTTGTCACAATATCAACATTATATTAAAAAAAAAATTCTCTGACCTGCATTACCATTAAGTTCGTGTAGCTGTATAAATACTGTTTAAAGCAAGTGACAAATTTTTACTGCTATCATACACACTGAAACTTTTTTCCACCTCATGTTATGCTTCATATGGAAAATAATTTCCTTTTCTGGAAGAGATATTTTACTATTCTGAAAAGTCTCTTGAACTTTTCTATCACAAAAACACTGAGCAGTCTGTCAGGAAATTATATTGAGCATTATTAAATCAGATAATAACAATTAAACCCAAGCTTGCATAACATGAAACAAAAATACTACTCCACTTGACTAAGTTTCAAAACCATTACATTGTGACATGCACTTTACATATGTTAATTTTTATGACTTTATCAGCAACAGAATCTAACAAAAGTATATCAAACAGACATGGAAGGCAAAATCCCTTCATATCAATAAAGTATTTTCAAATGCATGGTAACAAAACCCAATATTCTTTCAGCACCACAATAATTCCTTACTTCAGTGATATTTAAATTCTACAGTGTATTCCCAATTTGCGTGTAAGATTTAGAAAATAATCTTTACCAGGTTCTTTCAAAGTTTGGGCATCTCCTACTAATTCTTGATCTCGAGCTCCACCTCCATCCAGTAATTCATCAGACAAACTGTTGGTTTGTGCTTCTGTTTCCATTTTTTTCATTAAATCTGCCTTCATAACAGAGAAAGCAAATCTCAAAATTTTGGATAATTCTTTGTGCTGTCTAGATAATAAAGACATTTAGGGTGTGCACTCCTAAACAACACCCCACAAATAGTAGCCAAATACCTCTGAATATACAGCAAGTTTGAGGGGCAAATCTTCAACCTTCACAAAGTCATCTTCATCAGATTTTTGACTTACATTTCCAGAACCAGCTTCCTGTTAATAAAAATAGTGATATTTAGAGAATAGTGCTATTTTGTTTTATTTTCACTTTTTGACTATTAAAGTATATCAAAAAAACAATGCCCAACAAGACTGCAAACTAGAAATAACACTGAAATAGAAAAAAGTTTCTCATGTCTCTTGGATGTATCTTAACTGAAATATACGCACATATTCATTCACTAGCACAGGCGACTCTGTATCAGGGCTGCCAGCCATGGAGCTTTCAGAACTTGCACCAGATTTGTTTTCTGCACATGTGGTATCTAATGTTTGTGTTTCATTTACTGGTAAAGATGAGTTTGATTCTTCTGTTTTCACAGTGGCTGCTACAAAAGATTCTGGGGTATTGATTGTTAAAGGTGGTGTATTCTCCTTGACGTTGAGGTAATGAGGCACAATTGTAGCCACATCTTGTTCACCTAAAAACACAAAATTACGTTTTATCTTGGCAGAGATAGTAAAAGATTCTGAGTGTACAAAAAAGCTAGATTATTATTTTCTTACAAATTATGACCCAAAGCCATAAATGAGCAATGAAAGTGAATTAGTCTCTCAGATCAACACAAAGCTGACTGAAACAAAACATGAGTTATTTGTATTCTCATACAATTAAGTATAAGCAATTATCACATGAGAGTACATTACTTGATTTCTGACTCAAAACAGTTAAAAAAACCCAAAACAAAACCCAGAAAAAACAATTCCCAGAACTAAATGACCTACTATAAAATATCCATTCTAGGTACGAGGATATGTAACACTCTGCCACACAGGATCTACTCAAATATTGCTTTTAGTCTACAAAAATAGGCCAAGAACAAACCCAGTATTTGCAACAGAAAAACACAGGAAAGGTGGTGGTAAAAACAGTTACATCAGAAGTAACATGCATACCACCTGGTGAGCTTCGATCTTTTGACAGAAAATGATTTCTCAGTTCTTCATTAGTTACAACACAGCATTACTCACAGAAAAAAAACAGATTTTTAAATCTTTAAAATACAAAGTGATTTCAACTGCTAGTAAAAGGGTAGTAGCAGAAAAATCAAATACTAGACAAATCTAAACATCAAAATACTGTAACAAATTTACTCTGCTACAGTTGTATGTCAAGGGCTGCAACAATCAACTAAAATTTATGCTCACATCAAGCATCAAAACCACATCTACCTACCTCAGATTATTCCATGTTTCCTCTTTAAAAGATTTGCTGTGTCAATATCAACACAGATATATCTAGGCAACTGATACAGTTCCATGAAAAAGTCCAGTAAGCTCTTGCAAATTTGATCATCTTTCTCTTAATTACATGTATCACAGGCAATGTCCAAGATAATTCTCACAGTATGCAAATTCTTATGGAAGTGTTAGTCCCTCAGTTACTGCATACAGGGCTTACCTTTAATATTAACAGATTCTTGTTCTGATGACAAAATCTCACTGCTTTTTGCCTTACTCAATTCTTGGTTTGAATTCTATTGGAGAAGGTAAAAACGAGTTACAACAAATTCTACTGATCAGCTTTGTATCTTATTGGCTAATTTACTAACCAGAAACACACTGCACACCTGCTCCATGATTTCATGTTTTCACTAGTTTGAAATAAAGACAGCAAGTCTCACTCTCCCTATTCATCAGCTGGTCAACAATAGTTTACAAAACCATTAACACTGATACACGTGTATTATTTGAACGTTTTCTTTTCACTATAGTAGTTGCCAGGTAAACTCTTTGGTTCCACAGAAAAGATCTATTGTTTTAGCCTTTAAAGTAAAATGTTCCAGTTATGTCCTTTTCTAATGTTAATACCTGTTGAGTAAACCAAAGATTCAAGAGATTCACAAGTCCATCTTATTTACTGAAATATAAAGACATGACAAGTCTCCAAAACCAGATCACACACATCCAAATGTTTTAAAGACAACTAACACCGAAATGACAATAACATTTCACCGTTGTTCTAGAAAAAATTATCACATGATAGAGAGGAAAGACAAATCAAAGACATGCTAGAAATACAGAAGTCAGTGGCTCACAACTAGAACTTGATGTCTGCAAACACAGAGAAAGAACCAGTTAAAGGTTTAAAACATGATCCTTTTTTGAAAGTTTAACTTTTCATTTGCTGTTTAACCTTTTTTCTCTATGACAGCAGATGTAAACATTAATTTTGTCTGTGTCCATCCATCCATTCTGGCATCAGCTATACCAATAATAAATTCAGGTGAGGAATGCTACATTTTTTATGTAGCAGCTATTGGTATCATGCAATTTCTTGTATCATTCTTCTACTTTCTATAGTAAGAAAACAGTGCAACAAGAAAAACTGAGTTACATACCAATATGTACTGAAAAGCTGTGCACTAGCATAGGTTTGTTCTGCATTTACAGTTTTGGTGATACCTGTTCATTTTCAGTTGTTGTTTCACTGCTGGCTTGTAGTGATGTCTGCACATCAACAGGTCCTTCCTCAAATTCAATTTCTTCGTCTTCATTCTCATCTTCTCCACTGCCATAGTTAGTCAGAGCTTGGGTTTCTGCTTTTGATAAACCTAAAGGCAAATCAATGTAAAACCACCTTCATATTGCCAAATCCCATTGGGGAATTTACTGCAATGATCAGTTATAACCCTTGTTCCAAAACATTCTTTAAAATTAAGATACAGTAATGACTTAACTTTCAAATATCCATATGCTTCACATCAGCTATACTATGAACAAACACCACTGTGTTGGTGTGATCTAAGTTATTAAACAAGTTGGTGTAAAGAACATAAATGGTAAAGGAATCCAAGCCAGGAGTTGGTGTTAGATAAAAAACAGGATAAAAAATTAAAAAAACCCAGGCAAGCTTAAGTAGAAGCATATTTAAAAAACCACATTATTTAAATGAAAAACTGCATAAAATTTCAGCAGCTTTCACATCATTCTGGTTAAAAGCTGAGATTCAAGTTTAGCTGAGACAAGATACATAACAATGAATCTGATTCTAATATATTTTTACAGATCTACTGATTACGAAGAACAAAAGCTCCTCTAATTGGAATGTTTAACCCTTCACATGATACTAGTAAATACAGTACTGCAAAGCTTTCACTGAAAAAAGACTGACTAGAAAATCTGTGAGAGAAGGTGTTACACAGCAGTACTTCATGCAAATCTTGTTGTAAAGTTAAGTTGCTCAAAACTACAGTGAAAGCACAGAATAATGAGCTGTAGAAACATGACTTACTTATTGCCACTGGACCACTATCACTTTCCTCATCTTCCTCTTGATCAGACGCATCAGACCTATTGCTTTCAGGAACTCCATTACCAGCACACATTTCTGAGTCCTGTACTTGTTTAACCATTTCAGTCTCATCCTTGTCCTAGGGAAACAAGGAATACTATGCAATTTCATGTTTGTTTATCTGAAGACTAAACTATGGTTTCTGCATCAAGGAGTCACCTTTAATTCTCAAAAATAAAGAATTATCTACAGACTAAAAATCTGTTTAAGTAGTCCTTAAGGCCTTGAAATGAATACTGCAGAGCTACTCCTTAAAACAGACCATCAGAACTTCCTATGAGAGGTCACGCACTGTTCAGACATAGCTGTCAAGGACTTCGTAACTACTGAGTATTTCATTACCTGAAAAAGTTGAAAAAAGGTTCTTTAGATTTGTTGTTATCAAGAAGAAAGACACACCTGCATTATTACCTTCCAGCAACTTTCCTGCTCCTTCTAAATGAGAAGTAAAAATATTCCTAACCACAGCTTCTCGTTTCTTTAGCAATAGCTACTCAGCAGTCTCCCTGCTGAATGATTTGCTAAACACACTGAGTGAGAAAATTCTGCTCCTCCTGAGTTTGGCTCCAGATCTTGAAAGGACTCTTCTACAGCAACCATGACAAGTGATATACAGCTTCCCCCTTCTACTTCCAGTGTGACAGAAGCTCTAAGCCCTAAGAGAAAGCACTGACTCCATGAGCATACATGCCTATTCACACACCTAGGCCCATTTAGGAAAGCAATCAACATTCTATTTAGTACATTACCAAATCATTCCCTTGACTGGAGAAAGCTGAACATTCCAGCAGAAAATACAAAACTTCATACACAACCCATCTCCCTAAACAATTATATTAGTGGTTTTCAAAGCAAACTTAAAAAGAAAAAGGAGAAATTCTGAGCACTAATATTTAATACTCAGAGCACAGGCAGACTTGGGCTCTGAAACCTCAAATACCATGTGTCCCAACTCAGAACATCTACCTTCTCCCTAACATGGAAAGTAAAAAAAACTTATTCCATACCATTAAAAAAGAAAATGTTAATTGCTAAAAATAGTTAAGCTGTCCTTAAGAAGGGAATCTGCAAGTTTCTCTGTTAGTTTGATAAAGTAAATCACTGAAAATAACAGGAAAGAGATTAATAAATTTCTAAATACTGGGAAATGGGATCCTTACAAATACTTGATTCCTATAACAGAGAACAGTAAGACTAAGTGATCTGTGAAATTATCTGAAGAATAAAGACAGTTGAGAGCAAACACATACTTTGTCCTCATCGACATCTTCAGCAGACGAACAAACATCCACCTGGAGACCTTTTTTTGCCTAGAAGAAACACAAATTATCTTCAATTCTAAACTGAAATAACTTGGAAATAGTGAACCAAACCAGGGCTTCGTGAAAGCCAGGCTGAAATGCCAGTCTTACCAATAATTGCTATCTTAAAATGGCAGTAAGCCACAGGGACTTCTGTATACACAGATGTCTTCAAAATTTCACAGTTGCAAAACATTAAAAAACTGTGCTAGCCCTTTTTATTTAAACAATTATGCTTATATTGGGCTAATTCTACAGTCTGTGGTTGAATCATATTTAACATATACAATTAGATACATCATGGCAGGGGGTTGAAACTAGATGATCTTTAAGGTCCTTTCCAACCAAACCATTCTATGATTCTAATTCTGACCAAGACAAAGCGCTGTGCTTTTCAGTAAGCAATCTAATACTGGTTACTTTACTGGAATCAAGAGAGCCACAAAATTCACACAAGATAAAATGTGCCTACATTGGGATTCCAGAGTTGAGGGCTGTGAGAAGACCATACAGAGATAATTGTGCAGGACTGTACAAAGTAACCAGGACCTACCACTTCTGGCTCATCTCTGGCTCTGTCTGAAGTGCTGCCGCAGGAACGAAGTAAACAGGAGGAGAGGAAACCTTGAACCTAAGCTGGTTCCTTGTTTTCTCAAAGCAGTGTACAAACCAAATCTTTATGTAACAAGGGCCCAATGAGTAATTTCAGATAAAACAAGAAGTCATGTCCAAATCTTTCTTGATTCAGAGTGTTCTTCTGGCCTCTTTCCAGGGCACTCCACAGTCTCCCTCATACTAGCCATGCTATTGGTACATCTAAGTTGAATTATCTTGAAATATAGCTGATGGCACACCTAAAAATACTTGTAGGACTTTATGACAGGTTCAAAAAGTATCTTCTGTCGACATTTTAAAATAAAAATGAGTTAAGGGTTTGCTTTGGCATTAGTGTTTCTAGAAGAAACCTGAAAGAACACTGAAATCATAAATACATGCCCATAATCTGGTTTATTGTTTGTTCTGTAAACAGTTTATATAACTTTTAAAAAAAGCAGCTATGCTCCTAATAAAAGCAATACTAAAATTAAAAATGTAAATGGTGTGAAAACCAATCCAAACTTGCTTTTTTAGAGCAAGAATATGTCCGAAGTCTTGAATATTTCTGAAAAGTTTATGTATATTTTACACTGCAAGTCTAGAAAGTGATTCTTTCTGCATATGCCAACAAACCAACTACATGATGACTTCATAGAACTTACTCAAATTTGATGAAGATGGTGCCAAACTAAGCTACTGCAAGGAAACCTGCAGGCATAACTGAAGAGATGATAAACTAGAACCCCCAACGTGTCAAAATATTTAGCTGAGACAGTCGAACTTCTTCAGAGTAGGTAGTACAAGGCTACATTTGGAATTTGTGCTGAAAACAGTTGATATGTTTTTTACTGCCAAACAGCACTTGCACAGAGTTTCAAGGCCTTTTCTGCTCCTCACTCAACCCCACCAGCAAGGGGGCTGAAGGTGAACAGGAAGCTGGAAGGGGACACAGCCAGGACAGCTGATCACAACTGAGCCAAGGGATATTCCACACCATATGGCATCATGCTTAGCATGTAAAGCTGGGAAAGGAGCGAGCAAAGGGGGGGGACGTTAAAAGTGATGGCGTTTCCCTTCCCAAGTCACCATTACACATGATGGAGCCCTGCTCTCCCAGAAGCGGCTGAACACCTGCCTGCCCATGGGAAGTGGTGAATGAATTCCTTTTTTTGCTCTGGTTGTGGTCATGGCTTTTGCTTTGCTTATTAAACTGTCTTTATCTCAACCCATGAGCTTTCTCTGTTTACCATTCTCATTCTCTCCCCATCCCACCAGAGGGCAGTGATTAGGAGGCTGTGTGGGGCTGAGCTGCCTACTGGGGTTAAACCCAATTACTCAATGGCCCCAGATGTTAATACTATTTCAACACCTGTCTACTCCTTCCTATGTGCACATGTAACCATTAAAATATTTCCTCTGAATTATGTACCAAGTCTACACAATTAGTTATCTGTAACAGACGTCATCTATAATGCAGGACTTGTCCTTACTGATGAAAACCAGTTCATGCAAAACTGTGATTACATTGTACTAGTAAAATAAGTAAGCAAATAAATAAATACAACATATGAAATAAGATAATCATATCTTATAGTTTAGGAAATACACATATATAACAATCTCAGAAATGCTACATTTTTCAAAAATATAATAAAACAAACCTCTTTAGCATAAGACTGTATCGCTTCAGTAGTTTCTATTTTTCGTTTACATCTCTGCTTTACAGAAATACTGTTGTTGTCCAAGTCTTGCATAAGTTTAAAAAAGGCTAATTCATTAAATAACACTTCAGAGATCTCCACAAGAAGATCCTCCCCACAGTCTTTTAATTTTCTACCAGCAAATTTCGCCAGTGAATCCTGTGAAAAGAAATAATTCTTCAGTTTTTGAAACAGGCTTTCAAACTTCAAAGACTGTTCATATTCCCAGTAACTTAAAATTGGTTATGTATATAATAGCTTGTATTTTTTTCAAATGTTTTAGTGTCTTAAACAGATTTTAAGTGGAATCTCTAGTCACATAACACTGGGTTTAGTAAGCTTATGTTTTAAACTGCACGCTTGTACAAAAAAAAAAAGGAGAAAACTACTGATTTTCAGGAATTTACATAAAATATCCATGAAAAGCATCACCAGAGCTCTCCTTGAAGACAGCCACAGGCCAGGGATACACCTCTCATTATCTGGCAGTGATGAAAAAGAAGCTCTGTGCATGGCAAATCTTAAATTTTGGGAAAGAAGATAACACCTCATCACTGCATCAAAGGCGAAGGAGAACTGCAGCTATGCTATTGAAGCTGTAAAATACAACTTCAGGGAAGCTGGTTTGTCTGTTGCTCATTAGCCAACTTGGAAGAGTTGCAAAACACCACTGAAAAACTACTAACCTGAAGTATACTGCCAAGCTGCTTATGAAAGAACTTCACAAATTCTTTACTTTCATCGTTTTGTTGTGTAAGAGTCAAGACCATACGTCTTACTGATGTCAGTAATTGAGAAGAACATACTTCATCCATGTGTTCCTAAACGAGTATCACAGAATGGGCTTAGTTATCACTTCAAAAGAAAAGTTAGCCATCAACTCAAATACTGACACTAATTTATAAAAAAATCACCTGTCCAGTGAAGGAACAGCACTCCACAAACAGGTCCTAATCCATCTCACAAACACCATACTTCTCTAATGACTGACTGGTCATGACACAAAGCTTTATCTCACTTTTCCAATACATGAATACATGCCATCTTATAATGTTTAGACAAACTAAGAATCTTCATATACTGTGGCTGTGTATTCAAGTGTATTATAAAGCGTATGCTAAGATATCTACTGTTTCATGCAGCTTTAAAATTGCAAGCAAAACAAAAGTCTTCAGGCAGTGCAACTCTGGCATGGCAATAGTATTCAGTTTTTTAACCTAGTATCAACTGAGAATCTTATTACACAAACCTAAGTTTATATACTGTGCCTACTATAAAAGGGAACAGGGAGGCGACTTAAGCATCTTACAACTCAATCTTCTCTGCTCTTCACCTCGCAAAGAAGGAACTGTGACTATTTCTCCCTCTTTAAAGCAGTACATTTCTGCTCTGTATCCACAGAAGTTGACAAGCTCTCAACAATTTAAAGACACTTGTAAACTTAAGAAAATAATGCTAAAAATCAACAACTCAGAGCTATTCTTCAAAAATATCTTGTTACTTTATATGTAACAGTTTTAATCAGTTATCTCAATTCTCTTTGCTGAAAGGCAGCAAATATTTCAGAACTACATTCTCAAACATTCCTATTTGATTTGGTCAGCTCCAAAGCAAGCAAACTCTATTCTTTTTGATGTCAAATCCACCAGCCCTGTGAAATCTAGAAACCTCACCATTTCTTTCTCCTACTAGAAGCTCCGCAAAACCTTTCTGTGGAAGAATTTAGTTTTTACTTCATCAGCAGCAAGGTCTGCAACTTAACACATACTTATTGATAGCTGTTTCTAAGATGCAAGTGATCAATTTTAAATTACATTCTTCTGTGCAGTTATGCAGATCCTTTTCCTATTCTTCTAATCCACACTATATTACAAAGAGTTCTTACCTTCAGAAAAGGAATAACCTCTTTCATAATTGCTTTAATCTGCCGGTCAAGCTGCTGAGTATCTATACGAGGACATGGAACAGCAGAAACTTCACTTGACTGTGGCACAGGCTGACATTCACCGGTACCTGGACCTCGTTTTAATTTAAAGAACAGGCACAGTTAAGACATTCAATATTACTATTAAAGAAATATCCACTTCAAAAACATATTTTCCTTTTTAAAAAATAAATTGTATTTCCTTAAGTAGGCAAATATCCTTTGAAACTTAGCTAGGTTTTCAATATAACTACAGAGGAAAGCAATTCAGCCAATTAAATGATTCTTCATAGTCAGAAAAATTATTTTCTAAAACTTAAGCAAAATATGTGTATATGCGCATACCTTCTAATTTAGCAGTAGAAGCACCCTGAAAATTACTAGAGCAGCCCTCAGAGTCAAGGGTACTTTCAGCTTCAATTTTCATACGCTCATATTCCCTCATCCAAGACAAAGCTTTATCTAAGTGAATCACTGTGTTCCCTATATTTAGAATAAAAACATTTTTTAATCTATATAAAAAGTTTTCAATTGATAGACAAGTAAACAATTATAAAAATTAATTCAAGGCCACAAGTTTTGAAATCTACGTATAACTGTAGTTGAGTTATAATATCTTATTACACACTGTGATCAACTCAAAGTGTTTCACAATAGGCTAATTTATCTATATTTTGTTTTAGAAAATATGATTACACACTAAAAATCAAATAACAGTGTACTACTAAAGCATAGAGAATTGCAGGCATTTTGGGAGGGAAGGAGTAACACAACACTAAATCACATTATTCTTACCAAGGTCATCAGTGGCAAAGGGTTCAAAATTTGAAGATGTAGACATAGTACTCCCATTGTCTGCATCATTTTTTTCACAATCTTGACATGCTTCTGTAGGAAAGTTCTTGCCGAAAGTTTCCTAAAAAACACCAAACAACTGAATACAAAGAAAGAATGCACCATACTCTCAGAGATGTGTCAACAAGCCAGCAATTCTTTTCAGCCACATGCTGTGGTATCAAGACATGTCACCAGGTGGTCTGACTAGAGAAGAACCTTCCTTTCAGGATATATATCTATCAGGTGATTCTACCATATCTCTTTCAAAGATTTAACTATAAAACTCACAAGAAACTGTAAGAAGGCATCAGTGATTTCTTAAATTAAAAAAAGTAAAAATTTTTGGAGAATCTTGTGATAAGTACTTGCCCTGATCCTACTCAGAAAAGGATTTGGGCTCTTTCCGAATATCAGTTTACGATTTACATCCCTCTCCGTGTTCCATTCATTCCTGACACATCATTCATTTGCAGCATCAAGAATCCTACCATATTTTATCACTTTTGCATAAAGATTCTCTTGCAACTATTTGTTTAGAAAAGTCCATACTAATTTCAGCAAAATTCAATCACTAGTATGAATATTTCAGTAGACAAGCATGCGTGTAAACTGAAATACAGAAAAAGCTGCCAGTAAACCAGCTTCTGAATTTGAAAACTTACATCATCTGTAGAGGCGAGGCTTTCACTGGGAGTGAGTTCAGAATTTGATGCTATCCATGTTGCAGAATTCAGTGATTTTGCGCACTTCCCTTTTTCATTGTTCTCTGATAAATGTCTGGTTACTATATCCTGGAAAAGGTAATAAATCTATGCTGTAAAAAGGGATCTAAGGTTTGTTTGATTCATACACAAGATCAACAATTTTGTGCATACCTGTAAAGCATACAGAGCCCTTTGCCTCAGATAATCTGTATTTAGCAGCTGAAGCTCATGGAAAAGTTCAATAAGAAAGTGGGGACGAGACTCATTTTGTGAAATAAGAGTTGCCACTTCAGAATAAATTGTGTCTCGCAAAGCTTCAAACATAGAAAGATCACTACCAGTTTCTGCAGAAAAAGAAAGGAACTTGTTAAGTCTGTGACAGGCATCCATTTGAAAGACAACTGCCTATCAGGTATGCAAGTTACAGGTACACAAATTATATCTCAATCATTGTAGATTCCATTATATAGCTGCTTTCGTAAAGCTTACTCATGTCCTGAAGAGCAAATATTTAAATACTCTGAAATTATGCAATCTTTTATGTACAAAATATAATATAAGGCATTCATAGGAAAAATTTTCTTTATACTTCTGAATGATACCTTCAGAAAGTACTCTTTATAAAAGAGAATATTGCACACACCACAATGTTGCTTTCAGAATAGGCATTCAACACTGAAAATCGAGTTTTAAGATATTTCACACAAGATAACCAAAAGTCTCAAGTTTATACAAGTAGTCCACACTTTTGCGACACAGCATTGAGAAAGCTCAAGACTGAATTCAAGAAAGCCACTCCTTCCCACACAAGCATAAATGCTACATTCTCATACGTATCTAGTATCACTCCTGAGTTCACATAAAACCTCCTACCCTTAAGCCATATTACATAGGTATCAGAAGACAATGTATTCCTTATGTCTCCCATTCCTCTGAAAATTAAGGATTATCCTTGCATCACAACAATTATTACATACATAATTTGGAAAGTGCTGAATGGAAGCAAAGTTAAATTTGGAAAACTCGGCTTAGTTTAACAGATGTGTATTTGTTAGTATTCAAGTTAATGAAGTTATTAGCAACACTGCAAACATTACTGTGCAATATGATCATCTACAAATAGTTTACCAGTATTTTTAAGCAAAGGCAAGATTTTCCACCTTTGACAGAAGTCACCATAAATTGCTTCCCTCCCCCACTAATAAAATACAATAGCAGCTTTTAAACATCCTAAAAATGCCTACTAAAATTAGTTTTTTGTTGTACTATCTATCTACCTGCATATTTTCTATTTGTAATTGTTACTATCAACAAAGCGGTAAACACATTGTCCACAATGTAATTCGAAGTAGTTTGTAACAGTGTATTTCATGCAAATTACAAGTAACTTCTCGTCTCCTTTATAGGGAAGGTGCTGCAATAGCACTAATCTTGAACATCTGCTAAACAGTGAGTTATAGGACCAAAGCAAAGAGAAGAAAAAAAAAAGTAAGAGGATATTGTTGAAGCTAAGCAGTGAATGCATTACCTGGCACTTCAATGCATGCATTTCTGTTAGACTGCTGCAGAATTCTCCTAGCATGCGCTGTAGGAAAGTGGGGATAGACAGTGATAAACACAAAAATGCGCACCAGAAATAAAGACAGGGTCTATACAAAACAGCAGAAGGAAGACTGCTTGGTTATCCAAACCACATCAGAGCTGCTTATTGTGAGAACTTGACCAGTAAAAGCTATTACACATATTAATAAACAGCTCTTAGTGTGGATACAGCTATGCTGGCAAAGCTGGATATTGTTCTGTGACGACTAAAATTTCTACATCTTTCAAATGAAACAAACACACTGGCAGAACCTAAAAAGACACAGGAGAGTATTTTTATGATTTAGATATAAGAAAAGCAGATGGCAAAAATGTAAGGGTTTATGTGATGTTACATGGCTGAATTTGAATTATATTTGATGGAGCTCATTTAAGCATGAGTAGAAAAAAGACATGTATGCAGTACAGGATGTAGTTTAAACACTCAACGAAGTTTCATCAGTTGTGCAGTTACCTTGCATAAAATCACCAAAAACTGGGCAAGATTGGCTACATTTTTGCTTGTCTTACAGTAACAGGTTTGTTTCTAAATTACTTTTATCAAGTACTTAATCTACAGAAAACACACAAAAGCAATCAGTATCAAACTTTTTACTCACTTCTGTGTTTGAAGCATCCTTAGAAATTAAAATGGAAAATCCACGTGCTAAATATACAGTACTGTTTTCTTGTCAAAATACACCACTTATTAAATAACACTAGCAACTAAGTATGGAGGTATTAAATAACACTA